GATGATGGCTCAGAACTTTCATCGTTCGCAGGACCACACTCTCCCACGACGTTTCGAGGGAATCTGCGAAATGCAATCTGAAGCGAGTTGCAGCTACACATATTCAATTCTATTGACCCAGCCTGCGATATCAAATTCTCGAGGGCGCTTCTTCCGCTGTGGTCGGCGTCCCGAACGAAGGGACAACGAGAAGAGATATGGATGCGCAGTTTGGGATCGTGAATTGCTCAAGGTTGGGGAGATGGAATCGACAGAGAATCTCACGACGAAGCTTAAAGGGCTGGTGGCGTTTGATTTTCGTATGAGCAGCTGTAATTCTATGTATCTACTCTCACGCTCGATTTCACGGGAGCACTGAAGCTTTTCTAGTGGTCCTTCGCTTCGCCGAATGCAAGGCTGGCGCAGGAGTACTTCGTGTGAGAGTTTCGCCAGAAGAAAGCCAAAAACTCTGTGTCCTCTGATGCTTTAGCCCATCCAAGCAAAAAGCGGGGGGAGATGTTCCGCGCGTCATCATTCGCTCACTGTGTCGAAACGGTATCTTTCAGGATTTACCGAACCCATGAGTCGTGGGCTCCGGAAGGGGAATTCCGTCTCAACTCTCTATCAGATACATAGAATCCGTCCCTGGTTCATTGTCCAAAATCGTCTGACTGAGTAATGAGCTCAGACTCTCGCGGTACACCTTGAGGGTTCCTGCAGGGAAAACCGAGAATACACGTCGAAGGGGAACTCGAAATACTACTACCGCCGCAAATCTCGAGCAATACGACAGATCATTTTGCAGCGATGCTGCGCAAGCTTTGCGCAGAATCGTCTCGACAACATCCGCGAATCGCCTCTGACGGTGGCGACGCCGACGCTCGAGTGACGTCGAAAAGTTCCTCAAGGCTGTCGAGCGTCTGGATCTGGCTTCTCTCCGGGGAAGAGAGCGACAGATGACACAGACGGGTGCTTTTTCCATGTTTGGTGTTATATTCACGTGGAGTACTGGCGTGCCCGCCGTGACCTTCCTCCGAAAATTGTCTTCCGTTTCTCGAGTCCAACCAGAAGGACCTGGATCCTGAGATACATGGAGTTTGTGGGAAAGAAAAATAGTTACATCATTTCGATGTGAATCGACTCGTCTTCATAAGACCCGCCTTACGGGTCGTGGGCACCTCAATGCACACCTCTTCAGTTTTGATGCTTGAATATGACAAAACCATAAACCAAAATCTCCAGGGAGATGAGAAGGCGGAGTTCTTGAAATGTAACGGCATGAGCGCTGCGGCCTCCGAGCAGAAGCCCTCCGGAAAAGCTGGGTGCTACAATTAGAATATATCCCCGGAGAGCGCTTATCGATACGAGGTATCCCCCCTAGATACGCCGCTGCACACAGGTAGACAGCAATCCGAATCCTCTCATGGCGGCGGGTGTGACTGCGGAACGCGATATTCAATCGAAGTCCGATCTCAGTTTGGGACTCCTCAGAAGGAATTCTGAGAAACTTATGTCTGATGCTCCGCCGTCGATCTTGGAAACGAATTGCTCAAGTTTATCACGGATCGCTCCGTGCGACTCCTCGCACCGGGAATGCTTCCGTCTCGCGACCACTGAAAGAGCGATTCGAGTTGCAATTCTGAGACCGTGATCCTTCGAATGAACGGAACTCTACCTAAGAGTTCATGAGGTCGTCCGGCATGCTATTCTCCGACTGCTCGCCCTTGATTCCATGGAAAAAAATTCAGGCCGTAACCGAGCATTTCGTGGTTCGACCGAAAACCGTTCGAGCCGGACGCAACAGGACGTATTCGAACTAATCAAAGCCCTGCCCACGAAGTTATTGAGGTATGTAGTACATAGTTCCGACGAGACTGTATAGAAACTCGAGTCTTGGAGAATTTCTGCTTCAGCAAAGATGCTGTCTTGAGTTCGAGATGCAACTTGTCTTGAGGCGCTAGTTGAAACACTGGGCAGCTTGACACTTTGAAAAGCTTCATTCTCCACACAAATTCACATCAACTGCTCTTCGCGGGTTTCACTGACTTGGTGATCTGTTGTTGATTCTCTCGCTCTCTGTTCTCGGCCGTCTCTCTCAATTTCTTTCCTTGCTCGAGATTCTGCTCTTCTCTAATAATGCCATTATTAGACACTCCTGGCCTGGGAAGTGTGCGTTGAACACTTACTTGTTTTGGCCTCCACAATTAATTTCTATTACGATTAGAATTATTCTCACAACTATTCTCAAGTCCAACACGGATTGGTTCAACTCTGGCTAGTCTAATTTGACTCGTCTAACTCGAGAGGATACAAATGTCGCACCGGTCTTTGAATTTTTTATTCATTCGAAAGCCTCATAATACATGATCGCCATCCCGACCAATGTTGAGACTTCCTATCCGACCGAGCTTCCAAAACAGTCTTGGCTTTTGATCATCTCGAATTATTACAACCTGTCCGACGGTTAATTCTGAAGCCTTCGACTGCTGGCTTTCGTGGAAGTTACGCAGCAACGAGAGATAATCCGATTCCCATCTCTTCCACACATCTTCGACGATTCTTTTGCGGTGTCTCCATCTGGCCAACAATTCCGACTTTTGTTGCCTCCTCGGGAGCTGACTATCGGCGAGTCGGTCGTTGGTTTCAGCCACCAGGAAGTGCAGCGGGGTAAGAACCTCGATGTTCTCGCTGTCCGACACTTGGCACAGCGGTCTTCTGTTTAACATCTCCTCCACCTCACACACAACAGTGTGGAGCTCTTCGTATGTGAGCGACTGACGTCCTATGACCCGTTTCAACGCTGACTTCATGAGACCTACCATTTTTTCAACAAATCCGTTCATCCACGCGGCTTTCTCGACATTGAACTCCCAGGTCATGCCTTGATTGGCTAATGAGTCCATCAAGTCACCATCCGCACGCATTTCCGACAAGCCCATCAGGTCCTCCGATGCCCTTTTGTACGCACCTGCGTTATCCGAATAGAAAAACCTCGGGCATCCTCTCCGAGCCTTCAACCTCCTCACCGCCATCAGGAAGTCCTTCGTGGAGATTGACGACAGAAGTTCAAAATGCACCGCTCTGCTTGATGCACACGAGAATACACAAATCCAGATCTTCCTCTTCCACTCCTTCACTGATCACGAACAGCGGCCTCGCCATGTCTGTCCCAACGTAAGCAAATGGGTACGACTGAGAGACCCTGAATAATAATAATAATAATAATGACATTTATCGCGTGTTCTTTGCACATTAGGAACTACGTTCCTCCGAGTTGTGTTAATCCCGGACTATAATTACATGTCAAGGCATGATATCGTTGGCAACATTCTCCACATAATCTACATATGCAAGTGTCTACCGGCTCATGTTGCCCCTCAGTACTGCATAGTAGGTGATGGTAGCCATGGACCAGATATCTTGCGTAGATGTGCCGCCTTGTGTTCCTCGAACATGACCAGGTGTCCCTCTGTTGCAGAATGGGATCATCTTCGAGTACTTTCTTTGCCTCACTGTGTTTGTACTTCCACTTGTCGAAGAATTTCTGTAATTCTGGCGTTGTCTCTGAGTTTAACCTGACTCTCATCGTTTCAACTATCGGTGCCTCTATATCAGCCAGAATGTACAAGTATCTGTTACGGGCGTTTTTTGGAACTCTGAAAACTCTCTTTAGATATGTACAGAAGCATTTCTCGAACATTTCATAGTTTCGTTCACTCAAGTGGTGCCAAACTCGCTTCATTCCGTAACTCAGCTTTGGAAGTGCTTTGATTAAGAACAGTTTCAGGGCTGTTTCGACCGATAGGTGGTAGGGATCGCCTATTTCTGCATACATAACCGCGATTGTCTTACAACAGGTTTCTTCTACATGATCAGTGAAGCATGTTCCTGTGGTTTGTAGGCGGATTCCGAGGTATTTGGCCGTAGACACGAACTCCAGAGGCCTTCCTTTCCACTTGATTCTGTCGTGTCGACCTAGAGGGCCACCTTTTCTATTTTGAGCACCATCGTCTTTGAAGGGTTCAGTCGAAGTTCTTGCATCTCTAGGTATTCGCCAACCATATCGAGCATCTTTTGTAATTGCTGTCGATGTTTATGCATTATGATGATGTCATCCGCGAACATGACGATAGTCCCCGTTCTGAATTCTTCCAAGATCTTCTTCGGCAATCCTAGCGAGTAGCAAGGAGAAAGCTGAACAGCTGAGCGGGTTTCCTTGCGGTGTCCCTCTGTTTTGCTTGATGTTGACACACATTTCCCCGCCAATGTTCACTTTGAGTTCATCTTGCTTGAAGAAGCTTGCTATGACACTCAGTAGCTGACCATTCACCCCTGCTTGTCTAAACTTGTCTAGCATTTTTTGACGCGGGGCAAGATCAAACGCTTTCTGGCAGTCGATGAAGATCGCATATGTTTGCTGCTCTTGACTGGCCAAACTGCGTTCAATTTCTGACATGACAACGTGTAAAGCGTCTTGTGTTCCTACCCCCCTTCGGAAGCCAAATTGTTGTGGTGGTAGGAACGCATCTAAGGCACATTCTATGCGCCGAATTACTCCCTTGAAAAAGATTTTTTTCAAGGTATTTTCGCTTGCTATCCCTCTATACAAATCCATGTTGTTTTTAGGATCCGTAGGTTTCCCTTTGAAGAGCAGTGTGATGGACGGTTGATGCCAGGTCTCGGGGATTCTTCTTTCCACCATTATCTTGTTGAACAGATTTGTTACTGGTTCTGCTGCGAACTGCAGTGCTTCTTTCCAGTGCTCATATTATATTCCGTCTGGTCCAGAGCTCTTTCCATTCGGTAGTCTCTTGATGGTTTCTTGTATTTCTTCTGCCGTCCATGGTTCGTTCATCAAGTATTCTTCAAATGTGAGTGGAAGATCGATGCTCACTTCTGGTTCTCTTGCTGATGGGTCCTGAAGCAGTTTTTCGAAGTGGATCTTGATTTCTTCCGGTTTCGCATTGCATACACTCGTCCCTCTGTTCTTTCTTATGTAGTGATATGCTTGCTTCTCTGCCTGTTCAATGAGGCGTATTTCTTCTTGTTCCAAACATTTCCTTTTGTTGGTTTCGATTGTGCGGTGATATTGCTGTCTTGCTTTTCTGTACATCTCTAGGGTTCCAAGACCATCCCTGCGTACACTTCTGAGTAGTTTTTTCATCTCGGTCAGCAGCTTTTCACATTCACTCGTGAACCAGCGCTTCCGTTCCTTGCTTCGCTTATTTTCACTGAGTGCCGTCGTTATCCAGGATGTCAATCGTTTCTCTTCTTCCTGTATGTCCGGGTATATCGACGTGTTTGGATGGGAATGTACCATTTGGATGTTTTCTTGTAATCTTTCTAGGGTGATCTTCCTGCTGTATTGCTTCTTCGGCTTTGACTCTACTTCCCTAGTCGTTCTGTTGTTCTCATGATTTTCGTGAATCTTGAGACAGACTGGCAGGTGCTTCTTGAGTGGATAACGGAGAACTTTGATCGACTCTACCTTTGTGATACTGTTCACGAAGTATAGGTCAATCGTGCTGCTTCCGTTCCCTCCGACGTAGGTTGATTCGTCTGGATCGTTAACCATTTCCAGTTGCATTGTGTTCATTGCTTCTAATAGACAGCTACCCTTTCTGTCTCTGGCTGTTGGATCCACTCTGCAGTTGTAGTCTCCTGCCACTACTATTGATTTTGAGCGATCGATTTTAGACACTGCTCGCTGTATGATGTCTATTGCTTCGATCGCTCCATAGTGTGGCTGTATGTACAATGAGAGACCCTGAGCGCCGGCGGATCTCCAGCCTTCGCCGTTGCCGGCTTCAACTGAAACCTCCTGCAGTTCTGACACTGGTGAATGATATGTCTCAATCTCTGTCTGCATCTCGGGATCCAGTACCTCTTCCTCGCCTCCACCAAACAATGATTGATTCCAGCATGGCAGTGCCTTGCGTGCAGATCCTTGAGATATAGCATCGTTGCCCGATGTTTCTCCGGAATGATGGGCGGATCCTTCACCACGTCGCCTTGATGCTCTGCGAGTCGGCTCCCGAGCCGGAGGAAGCCCGCCCGGAAGATCGGTCTCAATGGGCGCAGCTTTGACTCCTCGGGCATGATCCTGTTCCCCCGTGCGCAATTGAGCTCTTTTCCATACGCCTCTCTTTGAAGCTGCTGCATGATGACATCTTCTGCTCTCCTAAGCTCCGCGGCGGCCAGTGCCGCACCCGCCTTGTTCCTAGAGCGTCTTTTCCGAGTGATGTCGATGAAGCGTAACGCAATCGCCATCGATCTTTTCCGCCTTAACCATGAGCCAAATCGATCGATTTCGAACACCGTCTCTACCGACACGTTTGCCGTAACTAGTGCAACCGTCAGTTTCGGTAGTTCTGGCTGCGCCGGCCACTCCGACACACTCTTCTTGACGAATTCTGGTCCCACGAACCACGATGAACGGCTGAGCTCTGTGACTCCACATCCCCGGCTGACCAAATCCGCCAGATTGAGCTCTCCTGGCACGTGATGAATCTTCGCCTCTCCAATGAGCTTCCGTATCTCCGTCACTCGATTCCTGACGAAGATCGGCATCTTCTCTTCCTGTTGACTGTTTACTTGGTGAAAGACCGACGCGCTGTCCGTCCATAAGTGGTACTCGCCGACCTCGAGCCGGAGCCTATCCATCAAATAGGCACATGTTTCTGCTGCTAGACACATGGCCATTAGTTCAAGTCGAGGTATGCTAGCCTTTTCCATTGGAGCTATGCGAGACCTTGCCATCAGAAAACTCGACTGGGCCTCTGCTTCCGGACCCGCCACCACCAAGTACGCGACCACACCATACGCGATTCCGCTTGCATCGCCAAATATGTGTACGGTGAGCTTTTCTAGTTCACGGTCAGTTGTTCCGTAGCATCTCGGGATCTCCACGGTATCTAGCCTGGTGATGTCCTCGGCCCACTTTCGAACAGCTTGGGCGATGTTTTCAGGTACTTTGTCATTCCACTTCATCTTCGGAATTTTGTAGACCTGCTGCATTATGACCTTCGCTCTCATGGTGACTGGTGCTACGAATCCAACTCTGTCGAACACGGACGAAATCACACTGAGGATCTCCCTCTTCGTTGGTGTTTTTTCGATATGGTGCATCTTCGGTATTGCTATCTTCAGGGTGTCTCTTCTTCGGTCGTACCTGAGACCCAACACTTTGAACTCTTCGTCTCTTCGTTGGCGACTCTTCCACCGACACCGCGTCCCTCTTGAATGTCTCCATCATGTGCTCCGAGCTGGAGAGCCACTTCCGCCAACGGAACGATCCTTTCAAGAACGTTTCTCCCGCAACCCTGTAGAGTGTTTCCGCGGCTCTGTGACTTGGAACCGAAGCCACCAAATCGTCTACGTAGGAGCTGTGGCTGATTTCCTCGATTGCTCCTGCGTGCGGTCCGGAGTAGGACTCCAACAGCGTTCGGATACACATGGCGAGAATGAACGGCGACGGTCCCAGGCCGAAGTAGTTCCTTGCGAGACGAAACGTCTGTGGCTGTCCGCTCTCGGTGCGATCCCAAAGGAATCGCAAGGCATCTCTATCCACCTCGTGGATCATAATCTGAGGGAATGACTTTTCGATGTCGGCCATAACCGCGACCGGGTACCTTCGAAAATTTAGAATAATCGAGAGAAGATCGCCATTTAGGTTCGGACCATTCTCCAATGCCTCGCTGAGCGATCGTCCATTCCGTTCCTTTGCCGACGCGTCGAACACAATTCTCAACTTTGTCGTCAGGCTTTCCTCTCTGAGAACCTCTCGATGCGGAGGGTATGACACGACCTCTCCGGGAGTCCGATCCTCGTCAACCTGTTCAAGGAAACCCAGTCCGATCATGTTGTTAATTTCGTCGCTATATCTCTCTCGGAGCCCACTCCTTTTCAGGCGAGCCTCTAGCGATTGCAACCGAGCCACACAGAGACTCCTATTGCTCGATGGTCGGATGTTCTCCTTCATCGGTAGTCACACGACAAACCTCCTCTCTGTTTCATCGAAAGTCATGCTCCTCCTGAACTTTTCAATGAAATCCTCTCCTGACTGACTCTTCTCTTGCTCCAGCTGGTAGGCGTCGGCTTCGACGAATTTTCGGAACTGAATCTCCAGATCGCCGTCGTCCTCAGCTCGGTTTTCCCCGAGTTTCGGCATCGCTCGATGAACGACATTTCCGACGCGTGATCGAACAGGATCCGAACCTCGTGCTTCTCGCCTGTGGGACCGATTGCGAACGCCTGAATGGTCATACAGCTTTTCGTCGTGGCTGCCAACAGACTGCTCTCAGCACAGCTGACCGCCGTTGTTGAAAACCTGCACATTGATGTCACATGATTCCTTCTCTGGCATCTGCTGCAGCTCACCGTCTCATGACAATTTTTCGCTGAATGTCCGCTCTTGGTACACCGGTAGCACCTTCTTTCTTGAGCTAACTTCTGTTGTTTCTCGGCCAGCGGCATCTCTTTCATGCGGGAGTCAGCCCGGGTATCTTTACAGAAAACGCAATCATTGTCCGTTCTCTTCACA